AGGGAGAGGGGCGGAGAGGGAGAGGGGCGGAGAGGGAGAGGGGCGGAGAGCGAGACGGAGGTAGGGAGAGCGAGACACAGAGTGCTTACTGTATTGCAGTTTTAAAAATATACATACTTTCAGAAATAATGTCGTTCAGAAAACATGTTTTCATAACATATTTGCGGTAGTAAATTAATACACTTGTCGTTTATTTTGAGTCATTCTCGCAGGGACATTACATTCAATTTAAAAATTCTAAACTCTACAGTATTTTAAAACAAATTGTAGAAAATAATAACTTTTTTGCCAATGTAGTGAGCATGTGGTGGAAAATGTCTTACCAACACATACATGTGTCATTTTCCCCTGCTTGATAGGTAACCGCGCATGCTCAGATGTTCGGCAGACTCATGAAATCTCCTTGACTGCGTCAGAACCTGACCTGCCGAATACCTTCGCATAAGAAGGTGCCCATCGGAGCCTAATGTCACACGTGTATTTACGTTACATGAAATTTCCCACTATATGTTTATTGGGAAACGTTACCATTTTCGACCCCTCTACAAGCCCAAAAAGTTTGTCAAATCCTTTCTGAGACAGATATTATTCCGATGGCATTACTAGGCATCTGCCTGATATCCGTACTATTTAGGCATTGGCCTGATATCCGTATGAGATAATGGGAAGTAGCCCTTGTGAGAATGGGGAATCAGCCCACTCTCCTGTCTTACAGATGGAAGTCGAATAGTGTGGAAGGAAAGGTCGTGAAGTCCATGTGCCTTTCTTTAAGGTACTACCCCGACATCCCCCTGGAATTGATGGAAGGAAACCACAGAAACGACAGATCAGGGCTGCCTGCCACTATGCACAGGAAGTTAGCAGTCAAAAATTTAAATATTGCGATATCTCTTAACTATATTATTCACACAAAAATAATTGTTCTTAAATAAGAAAAAATATATATTTCCATTTACACACTTGAATTTTCGGAAATATTCAATATTTCATATCCTTATAGACAGATCTGCTAGAGAGGGGTATATTCGAGCTCTTTTCAAAGTTTTTATATTTTTTTCAAAGAAATATTTCTACAAGGGAAACTGTCGTGGTCACTGACGACCATTTAAATGCCTCGCCGCAATGAAGCCGCGACAAGTGTGGGGCAGGGGGGTCTTTCAGCCGGCGAAAAAAGAGCACGCCAGAGGCGAGCGCAGAGGTCAGAGACGAAAACTAACGCCCACGCCGAAGGCACCACCCTTATGCTACCGACACCTTCGACACCGCGCTTACCAGCGAGGTCCCACTAGGGGGCTATAAAGGAGAGGGGTTGCAGCCGAGAAGACTGGCTGTGTTCTAGGGAGACCAATAGCGCCGAGCTGCGAGTGGTGGAAGTTAAAGTATGAAGTGTTGACGAATTGGGCGACGAAATTGGTATTTCCCTGGTGAACTGAGAAACTGCGCTGTTTATGGGATATCTGCTGGGTACAGGGCTATTAGGCTAGTCTTTGGTACATCTCCCGGATTCACAGAAAATTGGCAATGTTTGTTGGCACAGATTGGTTTTGTTATTTTTTGTTTATGTAAAGGTCGCATTAACTATCCTTAGCGATCACTATTGATTAACGTTAAGAATATCTGTATAATGAATGATGTGAAATAGTGATGAAGAGGGGTGAAAGTACGAACACAAATACAACCATACACGAGGTGGGACTTAAACCCGCGAGCTTTCGGTTCAAGATTACCACGGCACTTAGTCCGAAAAACTTTTCGAATCTGTTCTGAAGCTCTACCTTCGTAATAAGGAAGGTTCGGATTCTTCCCTTCCGTGCGACGTCCGATTCCCAATTGCTCAGATTCGACCTGGGGATTCGAGAGCGTGGTTATCGCGCCAATCTAAGCGCTTGCTTAAAAAAAATAAAAAAATGTTATCGCTTGGTCGTCCTAACGCTTTCCGTACCTCGCACGTTGGTTGTGCCACCGTCGACGGTAAGCGTCATGGGCTGCGATCTTGTAATAGGGATGTTCTACACATAACGGGGACAGTGCGGGCAGCGATTACTTTGCATAGGATTGCACGGACGGGACAAATGCGGTTGGCGACGCTTTTAACAGAATCGCTTCGCAAAAACTGGACAATTACGAGCGGCGACTGCTTTGACTCACAGTTGTTAAAATAATGGGCGATTGAGAACCGTGACAGTTTTGTGGGGTGTACCGGCTCCAGAGTATTGTCCTAGCACGCGACTCTCCAGGTACCGGGGCCGGCTCTACCGTGCACGCCCGTTGTCAACAGCCTGTCGTAAACACGACGCGCCAGCGCGTCCGAGCTCGCTTGCACACAGGAGCAGCCGCGAATACCGTCGAGACAAACGGCGACCCGTCCACCCCTTGGGGTCTTGACCACTCGCGACATTAGGTGCCATCTGCTTTTTAAAGATTTTTACATATATAAAAAATATCTACCAAAAATGTGTTTCCATCTTCCCCTATTAATCGTATAAGACAGCAGTACTCACCTCTTGCGAGAAGAATAGTACATCTTGTGTGAGATGGTTGCCTTGACCGTGACTAACAAATTTGCGACGTTGAATAGTCTTCTGTTTATCGACAGTAATATGTTGTCTTCTTACCAACTGGGGTAAAATTTCATCGGTTACATCTGGAAAATAAATAATAACGAATTACTGGAAGCACAATGAACACATCAACTCCTAACCGTACGTTGGTATACACGATTGAAAACACGCGGGAAACCTTGAACAGTTCCCGAGTGAACTTGTAGGTGAAAAGTGATAAAATAATACATTTTAAAAATAATAAATAAAGTATTAACATTATCCAAACGCTTCACCAGGTTTTTCAAATTTAGCAAGAGAGGCTGAAAATTCACCAATACACAACTCACAACAAAACTCACCACTAAATTTTTATACAAATATTAAAACATAATTTCATAACTTTTTTAAATTTATTTTTTCATTATTATATGAAACTAGACCACTCCTGACTTCAAACGTACTTGGCAGAGCAACAATGGCAATCAGACGTGATCCATTCCTGCCATCCTTCGGAAGTTTTGATGGTAAATCAGAGAGACTGCAAATATTTCACTTAATAAATGGCTATTCCACCCACGAAATGTTTACTAATGGAATGGAAGACTTCAGTCACTCTCGTCCACTTCGAGTCATCTTACTCCTGTAATTTTATCTTTTTCGTTTTATCGCCACGGTGTGCCCCGAAGTCTGATCAACCTGAAGCTCTTGCATTACGAAGCCCTCATATTCTAAAGTCATCGTAACCCGAAGTGTTGATATCTCGTAGTTTAACACCTCGTTTTCTGAAGGCTCATTACTTAAATTTCCACGTCTTCTCAAACCTGATTTTAAATGTGTCGTGACACGCAATGTCACTACAATTGTAAATCTTGTTTCTAACGCAGTGAGGTTGATCTTTAGAATGCCACCGAATATGGGTTGATTAGTGACTGATTAGTGATTACGGGCGCGTCAACTGCTTTGGGCATTAGTCCCGTGTTTTATCGCGTGAGTTGGCGGTGATCTTCCCCCGTTGGCTGGCGAGATCCCGCGCCGATCTACGCCAGCTTGCGGGGATTTTTCCGAAGCAGATATCTCCCAACAGCGTAGCACTGCCTCAGCCGGGATAAGCTCTAAGCTCACAACTGGTCTCCCGATATGTGTGGTAGGGTAGTGCATGATAGTGGTAGTGTGTGTAAGTAATGGGAGGAAAATACAAGGAAGAGGAAGGAAAGATCGCACGAGGTCCGTGGCCCGTTCGTTACGGTACTGCTCCGGCATTTGCCTGGTGTTTATCAGAGATAGGACAGAAAATTACCGATCAGAGCAATCGGCCGCTAAAATTTTCCTCCAGACAGCGGCTGAATTCGACATAGCTGACAAGCTAATGTCGAAAATTCTGCCACCGTCGGGACTCGAACCCCAGGACCCACCCTGCCATCTTAGCCGGGGCCGAATTTGGACATGAATAATGTTCACAATTATTTTTTACACTCGCTTCTTAATTTTTCTTCAGGTTTCAGTGTTTTTCAGCTAGCATTTGTGGACCTAACGTTAGTGGAAATGTTTATGTTTATGTGGTTTATCCTTTCAAAAGTTTGAAGGTGGAAACGGAAAAGAAAATAAGAATGTATTATTGAAAACTATAGAAACTGTTATTTCTCAACTGAACATTATTTTTCCTTGTAAACATGTTATTGGAATTTGAAATATAAATACGCTGGTGTCTAACTCGAGCCTTCCAATTATTCCTAACGCGAGCCCCTAATTTTTCGTCTTGTAGAATAAAACAATAAGGTATTTGTTACACAAACCTTAGGCGTCTAATTAAAAGCAAGAGCGTACTCTGAACCCTGTCAGTTCGAGAGGCAGGAAAAAGAAACAAGTAAAGAGACAATTTCATAATATAATGCCAGAGAAGTTGGAAAGTGAAAGATTTAAGAAAATTCTGAAATTAAGCAAAAGACAGAAGGAAGATTCCACCTTTCTCGAGGAATCGAACGACCTGTCCTCTGGCTCTTCCACATTGGATAATCTACCACGAATATGTTCCTTCCCAGGTGAAGAAGATGGAGAGAACATGTTTTGCAGATGAGCTTTAGGAGAACTATGGATAATGTTCCTAATGTGTTCACTGTGGGTTCATGTAGAATGTGCGAGGGCGGATAAAGTTGCTTTTGTCGCCCTTCAATATAGACTATGTGTAAGACATATAAGGCAATTCCTTAGGTATTAGATGATAAACTTTTATTTTTATAAAATTAAACTGAGTTCAGTCTATTTACATTTTATTTAATTTCTTAAAACGTTTGCGGGAGGTTCACAGTAGGACCGACATCGTGTTTTAAACTTTCCGTAATAGCAACAAAAGTGTTGTGCTTGATTTCAGTATTTTTTAAGGTAAATATCAAATGGGTGCACTGTAACTTGTTCACTGTGTTCTTCGTAAACTTTTTGAATTGCGTCTTAAATAAGAGATGAAGAATGTTCCGAAAAATCACTTTAGATTGTTAAATCCCATCCCCTCAAATTTTGTTTCTTTTCGTTTAATAATATTTACGATTGTTCTGCATTAAATGAGTGCTTTTTAAGCGATGTGGAAACTCCTCTGTTGAAGATTGCGTTCATCTGTCTGTTGACATAAATTTCGTATGTTATATTTTCGAACTTGTTGTCTTCATGCGTTTGCTGTGTTTGTTGTATGAGTTCAGATGAAGGGACACTCACTACACCGTAGTTGAAAACACTTTCATGTATGGAGATTGCAGATAGTTTGAACTAAGCAATCTCTGTAACCTCTTAATAGCTGTGAGGTTTCTTCTTGGTCTCTATTTCTGGTTGTCGAAATTTTCGATATTTCAAGAAATTTCAATTTACAAAAAACACAATACTTGTAAATGGGGAGGTAACTTAAAACCAGTTCTATTTAGCTTTTCTAACATCACTGAAATCACTTATCTCATATTTTGGCACGTTTCCTCCTGTGTTCTTCTAAATTAAAGGATTGAAATAATTATAAATGTTGCCATTGCCAACAATAGTACTATTACTACAATAGTCTACAATTGTCTACAATTCTTGGCAATGACAACGTTTATAATTATTTCATGAAAAATGCCAACGATAACGCACCACAACACCTATATTTAAAGGATTGAACCAAACATCGGAGCGCAATACTTAGTCACTTCTAAAAGTGACTTACTGTTACGCTCTTACAAAACTCTAATATCAATGATCATGTTCACACTCCAGACGTTTTGTACATAAGAGAACGGCTGAAGCCACTGCTTAAACTGGATTACGCACCCTTCCTCATGAAACACGCAAGGATGACTGAATCTTCAGTGATGCAACAAAGAATTCACTACTTGGCAGTGGAGGCTCGTACTTACATTGCACGTTGCACAACACCCAGATAATCGAAAACGATCTTATAATATGTTAGAAATATGCATTTTCCTTTTAATAGCATTCAAAATTCAAGATATTGCAGCGATACCGATTAGTATGGAATCCTTTTAAAACCAAAGAGGGCCCAACGAGCGCTCTCTCCGGCGTCTAGTGCGCACCCAGGCAGTTCACCATGTCACATTTTTGGCTCCTTTACGCGTATACTTTTTGTCCCAGTGCTTCTATTCTATACCACGTAGGCGCTCGGCCTTCTCTGCCGTACTTTTACCGATGCTTAAAACACTAATTGTCTCTCCCAGTATTTCTAACCCATGCAATTCTGAGAATTCAACGCAAAAGAGACCTGAGCCATTTTCTCAATGTCCTTTCTTTTCTATCCGTGAGAATAAAATTAGCGAAGAAGATGCAATTTTGCATGTTCATGTAGAACTGTAATATGGTCAAAGTATATACTAATCTAGAGGAAGAGTATTTTGATACAAACTGCTTTTACTTTCTCGCCCTCACCTCGTAAGAAGAGAAAGTAACAGTAACCGTGCCCTGGAAAGTGGCAAATTTTCGAGAGAGTAAATATTTATTACCGGGCCCTGTAACGAAACAGTGGATAAATCTTATTCCTAGTAAATTACTTTCTCTAATACGTTGTGTAATCATAATTTATTTTTTGTGAGACCTTAATACTGAAATCCGATTGACCGCAAAACGTCTGTCGGTCTGTGGTCAAAGCTACCGCCTAAACCGTACAGCCGATTTTATCCAAAATTGATATTTCTCAATTAATTTAAATGACCTCGAGGACCACTTTTTTTGAAACGGATATTTTTATTTTTAGGTGCATTGTTCGCGAAGTCTCACAAACATCTTCTAAATTTTATCAAAAGTGGCTCCATATTTTTACATTAAACTTTGTCTTCGGTTAGTGTAAAAGCACGTTAAAGAATGGAACAGGTATCATTTTCATTAAAATATCTGATTTTTTCGAAAATTGCAAAAGTTCAATTTTTTCGGTGTTCTCCTACAACGACAATATTGAAACTAGAGATTTTCTTCCGTAAAAAACCTGTTCCTTGATCTTGAAATTAGATCACGTACAATTTTTTGAAATAATGAATAGTTTTCATGTACGTTTGCGTGATATATAGGCAATTTTTAAACAATTATTTTGTCAAAAAGACTGCAAATTATTTCTTTAGTTTTTCCTTCTCGTGTGTGGCAAAGAGTGATAAAAATTGGTGCTAGTCTTATTTTCGACGAACTATGTGTATTTTTAAATTGCAAAAAGATTAACATTTCGAAACTACAAAAGTGAAGATAGAGATTTTTGCCTTTAACAAAATCTGGTCTGAAAATTTAGCTCATTAAAGTAGGTCATGAACAATATTTTGAATAAACAAGTAGTTTTCGCGTAGTTTCTGCTTAACATAAATGCAAGTTATAAAAAAATATTTTCTCAGAAACTGCTCCAAATTTTTCCTTCAATTTTTCTACGTATAAGTCAAGAAACATTATGTGAATGGGGCATGCCTCATTTTCGTTGAACCCTCAGAATTTGCGAAAATTATAAAAGTTAGAGACAATGCAAGGAAATGTATGTTGTTATAGCACCACTAGTTTACAAATTGCATGAACTTCAAGCACAAAATTATGCAAAAATGACACGTGTTTTGAAGAAATCTACGTGATTTTTTGAAGATATGATTTTTTATAACCGATTTCATATAAGGCAAAAATAGTTATCTTCAATATTGTACTTTTGCAGTGTTAATGTTTTGCAATTTTCGAAATGACAGAGTCAGCCGAAAATCGGACCACCGGCAGTTCTTTTACCGTCTTTTGTAAGGAGGGTAAGTAAGGAGGGAAAATCGAAGTTTTGCAATTTTTGAAAAATTAAGTATTTCAACTAAATTATGACCCTTGCTATTCTTTTAGGAAGGATACAGGCCAAAACAATATAATGCAGTGTGGCAACGATGTTTGCCCCTAAGTCGAAATAAATTTGGCTCACCACGAACCCATACTATTAGTAACCAAATTATAATGTGTGCATAGAAATGCCAATAGAGTGGTTAGGAATAGGATATGTCTGTGTAAGAAAATGTTTATGTTAGAAAAGGTACCACTCTTCTGGAAACAAAGACAATGGAAGACCAGAGAAGTGCCGGATTTTAACATCTACTCCTGTGAAGGCATCCTTTTTAAGGAGAACATGACAAGATATAAAGATCAGAGTTCATCAATTTCTGACACCAATGATACTTCTGTCCCTTTGCAAAAGGTGTAAAAAACCTTGGTTTTGATATAAAGTCACGTTTCTGAAAAGAATGCGTTATGATTCAGAATTCTTTACTTTTCTAACCATGAGAATATATGTGATGAGAACACATGTGATGTCACAGTATGTGTCATAGTTTTCCATATGATATTATCAAAACTTGTCGGGTGCCCTGGGACCGAAAGATTAACATTGAAATAAAAAATTATTTCAATTTGTCGCAATTCATGGTTTATTTGCAATAATGAAAATCGTGCTGAATCTTCCGGAGTCGAGAGAGCTCTCCAACCTACTAAAGAAAGTGCACCTCCTACAATGAAAGATACGCTACCACAAAAAAAACGTTCTACCATTCTTGAATGGGATTACGTACCATATAGGGAAATGCTACAAAAATAATAATAAATCAGGATATCGACACCTTTTCCAAGCATACAACTAAGATGCGCAACTTGTTCAGATCGGCTAAGAACGCAAGAAACCCAGTATCTTTTTTTAAATTTTTTATTTTTATTTATTCTTGCTTGGCCATTGGCCCTCTGCAGCCGCATACGATAGATACATTAATAATATTTACATACAAGAATCATTTGAGGACAGAACAAACAGAATAACAGTAATTTAGTTTTTAGATGAAAGACAACATAGTAATTTTATACAGAAGTTTATAATTGGAAAATACTCATCGGTATGTATCTATGGGAGACCCCCTTCCCCTCACTCCCGTTTCTGCAACTTTTGGTACTAGTCGTGCGAATTTTCTTGATGTCTCTCAGCTCGGGGTGAGGGGTGAGGCTACTGATTACGTCACATGGGACGGTTGTTGCCAACTGTAGCATTATTAATACTATTCGCGCCTCTTTCCTCTTAATACAACAGGATATTATAGACGATAAAATATACCAAAATCCGAATCGTAAAGCCAAGAGGGAAGAAAAATACCGTTGTATAAAATAGCAAATAAATCACAGGGCACAGCAAAGAACAGCGAAAACGCGAGAACTGAATTCATTCGATAGCAGCTGTAGGAAGCTCTGATAATCTTGCTGTTCCGTTCCGTGAGGAACCAAGGTTGTGACCAGACCGTGCCAAGTCGTGCGGGGTTGAGCATTAGTGAGCAAAGACGTCTAGAAAAGTCGCGCGACTAGCACCTTCATTGTGTGATTAGCCAGTGAAATACACATAACTTGTGCGCGCGCGAATTTCCAGTGCCAACTCGCGTCGTCCTGTAGGCTAGGCCTTTTTATAATTACGTCAGTTTTTTGGCGCTATATTGCCTAATATTGTGAATAATGAATACGGAAATGAATAATAAATACCTTATCTTTAGCATTTAGGTTTTGTTCTGAACACTTAGCAATCATAATGAGACGATGGCGATCATAACAAATCGCATGACCATGTACTACTGCGGACGCATGACGAGGTAAGAACGCTGAAGCCATGTGTGGAAGCACCAAGTAAGTGTGTGCTGTTAGTGCCAAGTTTTTTAGGTGTATCTATAAAAACCTTTAAAATGTATTTTTAACTCCATATCATACGTGTTCAATCCATTAAATTTAGTGTTTCATTGTTAAAATAAGTTTTTTATTGTTACCTAAAGAAGTCAGACTACGCCTTTACAATAACGCTTGGTGCAGGCCGCTTTGTAATCTAAGGTTAAAAAAAATCAAACAATTGATGAATACATCGATGAGATAAAATTAATGAGTACTTGGGAAAAATGATAATAGAAAACCAGTTGAAAAACGGCACTATCGACTTGAACTGGACTTTTCGATTGTAGCAATTGCACATTACAAGTATTGACGGTATTTACTTTCTTTTGAATTGCACTGGAAATAACTTTGTTCAGAGAAAGTACGTGTAATGCCAATTGTATATCATAATTTTTAGTTGGTTCCTATTTTACTCCGTGAAATGGTTGTTAACAATCTGCCGTGAAGAGGATTGACGTGCAGGCAGTATTTCTTTGTATATGATGACGAGATCCTGCAATTAGATGACCAGTTTGCCTCGCAAATGTACGTACCATTTCTGTTCATTAACAATGTGGTTTCTTCAAATTTGGGTTCTTCAGAATTCCAATTGGTTACGCTTCGTTGGCGTTCATCTCGTTGGTCATCCTGAAATATCGAGAACAAATATTGCAATAAAATGAGTTCGCTTTAACAAAACAAAATATGTCATGATTGGCAACCCATACTTTGTTCTGCTTGGATTTAATGAACATTAAGATTAACAAGATGGTGCTAATTTCGACTGAATTAAAAGTCCCCATTGACAAATAATGGTTGTTTAGGAACTAATGTAGTTTTATTCAGGCACAAATCTGTTTGGTTTCTCCTATTATTAGGTGCTTGATAAGTTTTACAAGTAGTTTACATGTCTTCTAATTCAGAGCTTGGAAGAATGGTGGGTTTTGGGGTTAGTGAATAGCAGGGCCTACATTGATACTAGTTTAATATATTTCATAGATAATATAGGTTAAATGTAAATTACTCTTTCAGTTTTCGAATTATGTAAGAATTTTTTATACGAAAATTTAAAATGAATATTTCATTATCGTTGTACAGAGTACTTTCAAGCACTTGATATTATGAACCCCACCGATCCGTCGTTTTCTGTCTACATGCACACCTTCCTCTCTTGGTAGGCAAGTTCGAAGGTTGCCTCGCTTCCAGTCTTATTCTCAGAAAAGGCTCCGTTATCAGCGTAGCACGCTTTGTTGCTACTCGACTCAGCTTAGCTAGGCAAAATTATGATACATCCTGCCCGCCGGAAACAGATTTCCAGGGACGTTAGTAGTGAGATGCGCGTGTTCAATGATCAAGTTAAAACTGAAGAAGTAATTATTATTTACAAATCATTTTGTGCTTTATTTTATTTTTAAATTTCTCACGTACTATTTGTGTTCATTTAATTTTTGAATTATCACATTCTTTTACTGCAACAATAGTAACTTGTTGTATCACAACTGTTGTGATACAATGAATGATTAACTATGTTCAGTTTTCTTGACTTAACGATATAGATAAATGAATTTTGGACAGTGGTCGACACAGTTCTATGATAGTACATCGTGCCGTGGAGGAAGATAGAAAAATAGAATTCTGAAACCGGCGGATCCGAAATGTATTTCAGGTCAATTACATTTTGCACGTCGCCCTTACATTTCTTCAAGACAATGCCATATATTGTCTAAATTTCTTACTGAAATACAATCCGTTAGGAATCTGGAAAAACACCCGTGGAATGATATGTGATCAATATTTTGACCATTTCTTTAAATATAAATTTTGAATATTACAAAAAGTGTTGGGTCCCGGGGATGCATGGCCCACCCACCCTCGTTTTCGGTTCAGGATCCACCACTCTCGGTTCAGTACGGTCAGATTTGCCTACCCTCAATGTTTGTTCACGAGCCGCCACTAGCTCAGATATTGCATATTTTTCTCATTTCATTTAGCACCAATTTTTTAAATGGCCGTGATCACAAAAATAAGGGCTTTCTACGAAATTGTTTTCCAACATAAATGTTGTATATTATGCAATTTGATTTAGGATTTTTCTTCACTGAAATCCATTTACTGGAACTGAAATTCGTGAAAATATGTTACTACATATTTCTTGTAAATTGTTACTGTTAAATACGTGTACGTTTAAACATATAGATATTGAGAAAATCAAAAAGTGCTTGGATCAAAAATAGATTGTGTGAATAAGAAAGATTTAATAAAGATAGAAAAAAGATATGCTTTACAGAGCTAGGACTATGTGTTTACATGTGAAAAGAAAAAATTAGAGCAGTTCAAAAGTATCCATAAGTGTTAAAATGCGACAGTGTACAGACATTGAAAGAAGAGTGAGAAAAGGTGTTATGTGATACCATAAAGTGAGGTGATTCCTTACTTAATTCTGAGCGTAGGTGATTAAGACAGAGGTTCCCGCCTTTATCCCCTCATTCTTCGTGGGTTGGTGATCACAATGATGGTAAACATCACAATGATGAAATTGCTCATGGGGCACCATCCCATATGGGACTCCAGGGGTAAATTAATATACAAGAAGGCTAAGCGCGTGCTTAGGTCCTCTGCTCTCCCAACCACTTTTTAAGCAAAATCAACCTGACCAATTACCAGTGCGTACAGACATTGTACGAAAGCTATGCAGCCTTCGGCCACATGGGAAGAGTCCATGGCATCGTTAGATACCTAATAACTCAGGTAAGTAAAGTAAGAAAAACAACGTGACAGTTTCGACTATGAATGAAACATGAAGTATTTGATTATGTTATTTCGCCTATTCTCATACTGTGCATACCGAGTAAATTCTCACTGTATGATTACTTACGACACAGCTGACGTAGTGCAAGAATTCAAGAAAGAGGGCGACTGCCATTAAATATTTGCTGTCGGCGTGTTGCGTTATGAACAGCAACTAATTGTAGGAAGGTGTCTAAAAAATGTTGATTTTTTTTAATTCTCAAAAATTGAGAGAGTACAACGAAAATAAGACATGCGCCAATTTTGAAGCGTTCATTGCTCAATCTGAAGAAAAGGATTACTCAGAGTAATTGGAGCAATTTTTTGAGAAAATTTTGAAAATGTTGAGACTTCTAGTAATGTACCACCCAAACTAAAAATACTTGATTCACATTTGTAGGGCACACTCGAGTTCGACCAGATCTATTGCGGAGTATTAATTTTGGACAACGGTATAGGTGCTAGACTTGACCATAGATGGAATTTTTGCCGTCAATTGATTTGTTCGTATTAAGGACCCTCAAAAATGGATTCTGACAACACATTGTGTTAAAGAAAGTAATTTATTACGTATAGAATGAACATTTTTCTAGTTTTTTTGATAACAGGATCCAAAAATATGACTTCTGTCAAAAATGATTGCTGTCGTTTATGCCGCAGCGGTGCAATACTTTCTCTTAACAACTGAAGTACGTAGTCCAGCATGAATGTAAAAGTCAAATTCAAGAATATTGTTCCACTTATATTCTTCGAAAAGTCTGTTCTACGTCGTATTAGTGCTGGTTTGGAAGATTTTGTTGATTTTTTCCTAGTTTTGATGACTGCTTTTAATATTGCCATTGAAATGTTACCATTCCAGATTCATTTGTCATGGTTTATTTGAATTATATGAATTATTTTTACATGCATTATTTGAAATTTGAATTATTGAAATTATATATGCGGTCAGAATGTTTGTATTTTATGACTAAGTTCGAAATGTGGATTTCCATTTCATTCGCACTTTAGCGAGATGGTTTAGATCAAACTGTATGAATGATTATAAACAGATGATTTCAATCCTTATCCAGCTAATGTTGGCATCAACCACAGGGTGCTGGCTGAAGTTATGTGAACGTTGTAGAGATAGGCATCTTGTGTGTTCGTGTGAAGTATTTTGGCTTGAAAATGCAATGGAAATTATCCAGGTCGTTTTATGTAAATGGCGAAGTCCGAAGGCCGCAGCCTTATCGCCCAACTAAAATGCTTAACGAAGCGTCAACAGAGCTATTGTCAGTGCTTAGATTAGAAAATGTGGTACCGTGAGAATATAAATTTACGACAGACACAGTGGAACTCGAAGCTTTCATCTCATCAGTTCTAAAATACACGTTGTCTCTCATTAACCTTAGAAACTTGCCCCTACTAGTCTGATTCCTATATATCCTATAGTATCCGTAGTACCGTAATTTACATCAATATATATGAATATATAAATATGAATCAGTTATTGATATATGAATCAGTGGTTTTTGTCAAAAATGTATTGCTTAAGGGCATAGATATTTTCAGAAATCGCCGATGTCTTCAACCACAACACTCGACATAGTAATCATATTCATCAGGGGACAATAGCTCACTACATCATCAACAGCTCACTCATCAACCGCTCACTACAAAACATTTGCGTACAATACAAGTACATTATTTACAACACTTTGTCAGACGACATTAAACGATTAAATTCGATACCAAATTTTAAGTCCCAAGTAAAATCTTTCCTGCTGCACAACAGTTTCTATACAATTACTATACAGGGACTATACCGAGCATCCAAAGGGAAAGTAATATTAATTTTAACAATGACATTTAATCTATTATTTACCATTTGGATTGTATAATTTTAAAGAACCCATAACAAGTATTGTACTTCAGCTTCTGGGTCAATGACCCCATCTCGATCAGGTTTTCGTCCAGTTTCCCTGATCCTTGAGCAAATGCTGAGATGGCCCCTTGTTTTGTTTCTGGACATAAATGTAACTTCAAATTAACTTCTCCCCATCACACGTCACACAGTTTTTAACTGTTTTTAACGTAAATAAATTCATATCGTATAATAACCGTAAAATCCGTCCGTCAACGCTACGTACGGTACTTCACCTAGAACAACTACTTTGTGTTGGCAAATGAACATTTCAAGTCCGAAGTTGCATTCGAAGCTGTTCCTACTTCGTATTCTATCCACTTATTTTAGATAATGTGGACATAAACCAGCTAATTCGCGAATTAGCTAGATTCAATTATTAGCCTAACATAAACATTAAAAGTAACAGTTCTGAAGATTTTTTTTTTGTATAAATATACTTCTTGTTGTTATTTGTGCCTCAATTTTTTACTCATAAAGCGATGTTTGTCACGTGTATTCAATTTGTCAGATTCGAGTGATACACCCCCTCCAACTGTCTCAGAGCGTAATGATCAATCCGTTGGAGGATTCACTCCAAGCATCCACCTGGCCTACATAAGTCAACTTGTATGGCATGAGACAAGGGATTCTGTGCAGAGATTACAGAACTTTCACGAAAAGCACACAGTGCAATTCCGATCATATACGTGAAATGTTATATTTTCCATTGTCTATATAACTTACTGGAATTAAGTCTTTATATTCCTTGCTCAATTATTGAATTATGACGATAACTTACTGCTTAACCTCGTATACATACATATACATACATATACATACATATACATACATACATATACATACATACATATACATACATACATATACATACATACATATACATACATATACACATGCATATACACATGCACACAAACACCCATACACGCAAACACGCAAACACGCGCCAACGCGC